CAAAACTGATTAGACTATTGTTCAAAACCACAACTGATTACACTGTATTGTTCAAAACCACAACTGATTACACTGTGTTGTTCAAAACCACAACTGATTACACTGTATTGTTCAAAACCACAATTGATTACACTATTGTTCAAAACCACAACTGATTACACTATTGTTCGAAACCACAACTGATTACACTGTGTTGTTCAAAACCACAACTGATTACACTGTATTGTTCAAAACCACAACTGATTACACTGTATTGTTCAAAACCACAACTGATTACACTATTGTTCGAAACAACAACTGATTACACTATATTGTTCAAACCAATCTCACTGCAGCTACTTTTTTATTAACTGTGGTGCACACCATCTGTTGTTTAGACACACAATGTATGATTCTTTAACTAGTGGAGGAATATTATCCCGATGCCCTTTTCAACAGTCCAATTACACAAAATTCTATACGTGTTGTGTCTGGTAACTTGACCAGCATTGCTTTGTATGATATAGTGGGAATACCAATTTCATTCTCCAGCTACTTGAGATATGAGAATGTTGAAAGAATATATTGTGAAGCAATTTGTATACATGTGACTTGTGCTGCTTTTCCAGATGGAGATCCTTTTTTATTATATTGTGTACTGTTGCCTGGGGCACATGGACAGCTTTTGTCAATGATTTTTGTTTTCTGTTGCCGTTAAATACAAGGGATAGCCTTGCTCTAAATACATCTCTCTGATCTGTGTGTATGAATATTTTGTATTGGAAAGTGCTGTTACATACCCTTCTCAAAATCAGTCAGTTTTCAGTGGTATTACAGAACCTAGGAAATGCAAAACAATGTTAAGATATAGTTCTGATACATGCCATTCCACCACAATGTTATATCACCTGTGGTTTACATGTGACTTGCTGATTTGTTTTTTAAATCATTTTAAAATAATGTTCTCAACCCTGTATAAACGTATCCGAGTTTTGCATGCATGTTTTTATATTTATGGCTTTGTAATTAAACACATTTGTTTCAAGATTGAATGCCTTTTATATTATTGTGTTGTGGAAACTTCCATTTATTGTTGAATACCTTTTATATTATTGTGTTGTGGGAACTTCCATTTATTGTTGAATGCCTTTTATATTATTGTGTTGTGGGAACTTCCATTTATTGTTGAATACATTTTATATTATTGTGTTGGGAAACTTCCATTTATTGTTGAATACATTTTATATTATTGTGTTGTGGGAACTTCCATTTATTGTTGAATACCTTTTATATTATTGTGTTGTGGGAACTTCCATTTATTGTTGAATACATTTTATATAATTGTGTTGTGGGAAATTTCTATTTATTGTTGAATGCCTTTTATATTATTGTGTTGCAGGAAACTTCCATTTATTGTTGAATACATTTTATATTATTGTGTTGTGGGAACTTCCATTTATTGTTGAATGCCTTTTATATTATTGTGTTGCAGGAAACTTCCATTTATTGTTGAATACATTTTATATAATTGTGTTGCAGGAAACTTCCTTTTGTTGTTCAATGCAATGTTGTAGATGTTCTCAATTCAGATAAAACAATTAAAATTTGTATTTATTTGTTTAGAAAGGAACCACTGATGTGTTCGAGTTTTGTAACCAGTGGAGAATTAAAGTTGTCCACCTTAGCAGTGTGTTAATATGGTTGGATAAGCTGAAGAAAAAACAGCTGCTTAATGTACATGATCAACAAAAGGTATCTTAAGTTTGCTTTATGTAGAAATTGATTTTACAAAAAATGTTAATAAGCTATTACCTTATTACGAAGTAAAGTTTTGGGCATAAACTGTGCAGAAGATCAAAGATGTCTGGTTTCCTAAAAACAAATAGATTTGATGTAATTAGAATATGCTGTAAGAAGCTGTAATTATGTGTTCTTCATCATGACGACAAATTAAGATATGTTTATTATTTAACATTTTACTTTATCTCAGTTTTTCTTATTGTTTTCTATTATATATATATATATATATAACTAATGTAATTAATATGATAATAGTTTTGAAGCTATTATCATATTAATTACATTAGTTGTTTATAGGCATTTAAATTGAGCACTATAAAACAATAATGAATTTATATAAGATAAGCCTTAAAATTAGTTTATAAAGCCCATTGTAATTTCCAGTCGTAACCTCGGAGCCATAGTGTTGGGAATATCCCATCTATCAGACAAAATCCGAATGCAGATGAAAAACTAGTTACCAATCATGAAAAATCATTTTAGGGGTGTAGAGTTGAGTGCTTATACCCATAATGTCCCAACTCCTACTGCCTTTCATTGTCTGCAGCCAGTTGTGAGAAGGCAGTAACCCTTAAAAGTTCTACTAATATCAAAAGTAGAAGTAAAAAGTAAAATATTTCTACTACCTCCCTTAAAAGTTCTAATAGTTCCTAAAGTAGAAAAAAAAATAATAAATCCACCATAATTTAAGGGAAGGAAAGAATTCATCATGATCTGTGGGACGGTTAATTTACTGAATTTAAAAAAATATGTTATACATTTTATTAAAGACAAAACTGATGGTAAATATAATTTCTTTTTACATATTATCTTATTTTCTATCTATTTATATACATCATTCTTTATAAAATAAATTTAATTTTCTCTGTGGGTTACTGGATGTTTTGATCATACCTAATCTTGTCTTTTAGCAGAATGAAAAGAACGAATACCCTAAAAACAGTATTGAACTTACGAGGCTGCAGGATATATTTATAAAAATAGAAGATATCAAACAGTGAGTACGATCAAGATTAAGTGATGTTTTTATAACAACTTGTGTTTTATAGAACAAGATGAATGAAGTACATATCTCATTAGATAAGGAATATGCTCTCGTAATTTCAGCTCTCCTCAGAGATTGATATATTTCTTAATATATGCATTGTTAGCACTAATGATATGTACTTTAAGGAAAAATTTTTTTTTTTCTGAATTGATATTTTTTGTTTGTTTCTGTGACCATAAGTTTGTGGTATTCTTAGACAAAGAAATAAAGAGACTTGAAAGGATGTGTGACTCAAAATGAAAACAATCTATTTAAAGTAATGGACAGACAAACACAAAACATGGGGTGCATACTTGCATTAGGACACTTGGTGGTCGTCTCCTACTGGACATGTGAATTGATTGACAGATTTTCTCCCCTCGGTGTGCCTTTTCATCAACCAACTCAAATGAGACCCCGTGTAGACCTTTTCTTGCTTAACAGGAAACATCGGATTTACACATAGCAACTAGTGCTACTCACGTGACAGGTCATTTTAATTCAACACAAGGAAGGCTGTAACCTCTAGGTATCATCTGTCCTACCAGTGAAGAACACTGCTGTTGTTGGTCTAGCACAACAACAATATCTTGTCAGTAGAGCAGGTACTATCTACAGACAACATCAGATATAGTTAGAAAAAACTCAAGTTAATGGTTTTCTGGACCACTTTTTATGTGAAAATTATAATAGGCATAGAATAAACTAAAAAAATTGAAAAATTAGAATAAGTATGTAGAAAATATAGATCAGATAAAAGTAAGATTTTAAGTATGATAATTTTCTTTTTTTATTTCATTTTGTTTTTATACTACAGAGTTTTATATGAAAAGTTTTTGTAAGTTTAAACACTACCATCTTGAGAAAAAAAATGACAAGCTTTCTAGGCATCTGAGGTTTCATTTTAATAGGAAGAGGGCTCATCTTTGGCATTAATCACAGCCTGAACTTTCTTATTGGCACATGCCATCAATCATTGAAACTCATCTGGTGGAATAGACCACCACTCCTTTTTCAATCTTTACCAGGTGTAATAATGATAATATAACAGCTGAACCTTGTTGATCCATAACAGGCTTTTGAATAAATATTACATGTTTCAATTATACTGAGTTGTTGGTCAGTTTGAGCTTTCCTTATATATTAATAATAACTGTGGTTAACACCAGTGTTACAAGCTGCTGAAATCACTCACAAAAATATTTGAGAAGACATCTAGCATTACACATCATATAGCACTCATGTTAACTACAGTCATTACAAGACTATAAATAGAGCTCAAAATGAGCAACATTTGTAATAGTTGAGAGTTTTCTAAGAGCCCACCAAAAGTCTCACCTGAAACCAATGAGGTTCAGTTGTTCTTCCATTATTATCACAGTTGTAATATGATAGTCTGAATGCTCCTAGGATTTCTTTATTTCATTTATTTTAGCTTTAAGTGCAGTTCAGATTGAGGCCTATCCCTCAGGCGATGTTCTGAAATGTCCCAGACCAATTTTCCTTTAGGCTCAGGTTGGGACTGTGATCTAGCCAGGGCCAGTTCTGGAAATAAGTTGCTTCAAACCACCACTGTAGATGATATCCAGAATGGAATTATACATTATAATGCAACAAAAAAGAGGTCTTCTGAATAAAAATTTTAACTTGCAGACATAACTGTCCAGAATTTCACAGTGTGACAAGACAATAATGGCTGCCTTTACTATTACCATTTTGAATAGCTTACGCTAGTCACCATGCCATGAGTTTACACTCATTATTCTTTAGGGTTGGGATGACAGTGATCTGTAGAGAGAGGTTTAATTTACCATTAAACCCAGACTCATTAATCTGTATTACTAATTAAGTAACATTACTAATTGCTCTTTGCGATATTTTCCATTGTTCTTCATCACAGTTCTGATGTTTAAGGCATTAATTTCTCTTTGTGATGGTTTCCATAGTTTTTCACCACAGTTCTGATGCTTAAGGCATTAATTGCTCTTTTTTATGGGTTCCATTGTTCATCATCACAGTTCTGACACTTAAGGCATTAATTGCTCTTTGTGATGGTTTCCATTGTTCATCATCACAGTTCTTATGCTTAAGGCATTAATTGCTCTTTGTTATGGTTTCCATTGTTCATCATCACAGTTCTGATGCTTAAGGCATTAATTGCTCTTTGTGATGGTTTCCATTGTTCATCATCACAGTTCTGACGCTTAAGGCATTAATTGCTCTTTGTGATGGTTTCCATTGTTCATCATCACAGTTCTGATGCTTAAGGCATTAATTGCTCTTTGTGATGGTTTCCATTGTTCATCATCACAGTTCTGACGCTTAAGGCATTAATTGCTTTTTGTGATGGTTTCCATTGTTCATCATCACAGTTCTGATGCTTAAGGCATTAATTGCTCTTTGTGATGGTTTCCATTGTTCATCATCACAGTTCTGACGCTTAAGGCATTAATTGCTCTTTGTGATGGTTTCCATTGTTCATCATCACAGTTCTGATGCTTAAGGCATTAATTGCTCTTTATGATGGTTTCCATTGTTCTTCACCACAGTTCTTATGCTTAAGGCATCAACTGCTCTTTTTGATGGTTTCCATTGTTCTTCACCACAGTTCTTATGCTTAAGGCATCAACTGCTCTTTTTGATGGTTTCTGTTGTTCTTTGCCACTTCTGGGCCAAATTGCTAATCAAGAATTTAGGGTTCCAGTCTATGATTCTATTCAAGTGCTGGAACACATAACATTTGTCCACCATACAAATAATGCAAGTAATATATCTCCAAATAATACTTTTCCTCTTTAAAATGTGAGATATTTGAGGTTGTTTTTTTTTATTCTTCTAGCTCGTATTTTATCTAAGGGGCCACTGCCATGGGCCAGATATGGGATGCTAATGGGACAGACTTTATTTACAATGTTAAGATACAGATATGATCATTATTGTGTGCTGTGCAAAGGACACCTTAATCTTTTAACCAGTGCATACTGTAAATGCATGGGTAAACTAGAATTTTATACATGTTTTCTAATTACTGGCAAAAGACATTACACTAAAAACTGTGTACACAGGATACTACTTACTTTAATTCAGTCAGCCTGTTCACAGTTCTTGCTACCTACAGTAGGTTTCACCAGTACTCGGCTGACTCTAGAGGGACTGTTATCATCTGCAAGAAAAACTGACAGAGAAAGCAATAGACATTAAATGACATTGATTGTTACATGTGAAGTGTAAGAACATCCATGGTTATGTCAAGCCAAGACATGAATGTCTAAAAATAAGCAAACACAATACATGGTGTGCCGGTTTTTGCATACGGCTAGTATTTTTTGTAACATTTTCACAAATTTATGCTAGCATGATCTCTGTTATTGTGTATAACTACACAAACGAGGCTCTTTAAGAGGTTTTCTCGTATTTTTTTGTGAAAAGGGTGTTTCACTTTATTATAGAAAATGTAATTTTTATTGATTCAAACTTTAATTTTTAAATATTGATAATCTATACAGCTATTACCGAACACTGTATAAACTTCTTGGACAGTGGCCTGAAATGGATTTCACCACATCGAAAGGATCTTGTCCATTCTCAACTTTAAAACCAAATGTGTGTAGAGACCACATGACAGGTGGTTTTGTAGCTGAACAACAAGATATTACAACAACAAGCAGGTATGTCTACATTAGATAAACACAATTATTAATCAAATTGCACAAGGTTTTCACACCTATAGGATGCCACGAGGTCTACCATAACTCATCAGTGCTCCAGCAATCTGTATTGTAAAACTAGGTTCCTGTAGTATAAAACTAACTGAGCTTGTCTAAGTACTTTTACAATGGGTGTGATCAGTTACTTCAAAGCATGTTTTCTGATATCTGTATAGTAAAACTAGGTTCCTGTAGTATAAAACTAACTGAGCTTGTCTAAGTACCTTTACAATGGG